CTTTTGACTGAGTATAGGTAGGGACCATAAGTGTCATGTAAGATTAGCAAAGGAAAGGACTTGAGAGAGATGAGGCAGGTGGAGCTGACCAAACCCAGAGGTCAGGAAAGAGGAGCAAAGTAGAGCTGAGGACAGAAAGAGAAGACCTGCTGAGAGAAAGGGGACAGGGTGTTGCACTGCACTTAGTTCAGTTTTGAAGGAACTCGCAGGATTTCATGCAGAAAATGAAAATATGCAAGGTTATGGCTAATCTACTGAAAATTCACTCTTTTTTTTTTTTTAGGGGTGTCTGATAGGTGAATCCTCACATTTTATTTGGTCAGTTTTGCAGGAGGTGGTACCTGAGGCAAGTGAGAAAGCAGTGTAATCCCAGCAGCTGGGCAGTGCAGCAAACCCTGGAGCCACTCGTATGTGAGAATGCAGACACTTCTGGCTTCCAAAGCAATTAGCCCTGCCAACCTGACTTCTCCTGGCACCTCCCCATCCCACCTGTGGAGAGACCTCCTCCAGAAAGGACACAGCTCCTCACACGTCCTGTGGCATTTCCCATGGAAGGTGATTTATAATTCCCTGTTCCATGAGAGCACACCACCTGTGTAAGGGAAGTGGATTGAGAGCTTGTGCTTGCTCCTCGCTGCTTCTGGGCATTTGCTTGGGGGCAGGGCAGAGGCACAGGTGCACCTCTGAGGAGAAAACATTTGCCCACATCTCCTGGCCTGATCAATCACACCAGGGCTTGTCACTTGGCCGTGAGAAGCTTTTATTTTTAGTAGATATGTGCGTAATTACATCACAATATTTTACTGGCTTACAAAGATGGCTTACAAACATGTATGGCATGCCGTAGTCTCAGTTCAGAACAATTTAAAGCACAGACTGGAGAGGTGTGTAAGTTGGGAACAAGTGCTAAGGGAAAAAATCTGTTCTGTTTGAGTTTGCTCCAGCCCCCCTGTCAAAGGCAGGGACACCTTTCCCTAGACCAGGTTGCTCAAAGCTCCATCAAGCCAACCCTTGAACACTTCCAGGGATGGGTCATCCACAGCTTCTCTTGGCAACCTGTTCCAGTGTCTCATGTAAAGAACTTGGTCTTAATATCTCATCTAAACCTGCCCTCTTTTTGAAGACCTTCCCCCTTGTCCTGTCATTACAGGTTCTTGTCAAAATAGGCTCTTGTCAAAAGTCCCTCTCCAGCTGCCTTGGAGGCTTTAGGTACTTAGATTTTCAGTGCTCTAACGTGTCCCTGGATCCTTCTCCAGGCTGAACAATCCCAAAGTTCTCATCCTATCTTTGAAGGAGAGGTGCTCCACAACCCAGATTATCTTGGTGGTCCTCTTCTGGACTTGCTCCAACAGGTCCACATTGTTCCTGTGCAGGGGACCCCAGATGCAGTATCCCAGGCGGGATTGCACCAAAGTTTAATCCAGGGACAAAATGCAGCCTAGGATATTCTTCGTCGTGCTGCTTTTGATGCAGACAGTATATACTGTATCCTATATCTGCATGTGTTACCTATTGTTGTGTGTCCACAGAGTGTACTCTGCCCTCAGATAAAAGTGCAATCTTCTCTTAGAAGACAGTACAGCACCAAGAGGCTGCAGAAAAGCAGGAATTACCTGCATACTGTGCAGTCACACCTCTCTGCACGGAACGCCTTCCATCCCAGTGTGCTGTCGTGTGCTTCCCATACACGCCACCAGCGCCCGGCTGACGAAAGGCGCCGCATTCCTTCGCGGCAGCAGACGCGTGGGGGAAGCACAGCCCCATCTGTCACCGTCTTCTTAGATTCGTGGGCGTATTTTTAACAGCGAGCAAAGGTTCCAACTCCCTCTTTCGGCGGGAACCGGCGCTGTCCCTCTCGCCCCGAGGCACCCAGGGGCTCCCTCCGCCGCGGGTACCCCCAGCCGGGGCTTCGGGGGTCCGCGCCCCCGGGGAGCCGGGAAGGCAGGAGCAGCGGCCGGGCAGAGCCCGTGGAGAGGTATTTAACAGACAGGCAGGTGCTGCACTTGTGGACATGGTTTAGCGGTGGCCTTGGCAGTGCTGGGTTAATGGCTGGTCCCAATTATCTCAGAGGTCTTTTCCGACCTAAATGATTCTGTGCTTCTGGGTTTTTGTGATTCCAAGGGATCGCTGGTGGGTCCAAGCGTAGCAGTGGGCGGTAGCTGCTGGGCTAGTAACGTACAGCAAGAACCATGCCAGGAGCTTGGACTGAACAGGTGAACGGCAGTGTAGGAAAATGTTACTGTGCCTCCAGACAAAATGCTGTGTATGGTTTCTCTTCAATTTTAGAGAAATGCTGCTTTTGCAAGCAGACAGGAGCACCCACAGGTGGGCAAGCTGGTCTGGGCAATAGAAGGTTCTTTAGAGTTCTCCTTTGCTCCGATTCCTCTTGACCCACTCTGCCCAACTCCATTCCTTCCCCATCTCGTGGATGTTCCTTCAGCTCCCAGCTAATTGCCTGCTGTCCCCGGATTGGTACTTTCAAAAGAAAAGTAGCCGAGGCTGGTGTCCATCCAGAGGAGGAATGCCGGATCCCTCCTGCATTTTGCAGCACTACACTCAACTCTTCAGCTATTTCCTATTCCAAAGGCTCCTACTGGTGGCAAGAGGTGGAGATACCTTTCTTAATAAAGTACTTCTGAGAAAAGCAGAGTCCAATAAGGAGCAAACGAGGTTATGGTTCTACTCTACCTTCTCCTGAGAAGGCTTGGTCATGGATTGGCTTTTTTCTCAGCTGTGGGCTGCAGCCTGGCAAAACATCTCAATGTCTTGATCTTGAGTGGGAGGGTTGGCCACTGCTGCAGAGCCCTGCTCTGCTGCTCACAAAACCAACAGCTACGAACCACTGGCAGCCCCCAACAGAGTCCTGTGGAATTTGAGTTAACAAAGACAGCAGGGCCAAGCTCTTCATAGCACGAGTAGGTGATGTTAGGGGCAACAGCCACCACCTGTGGATGGGGAAGCTCAGACACGACAGTGGGAAAAATGTTTTTATCCAGAGGGCAATGCAAAGTGGGAACTGTCACCTCAGCAATGGGACCCTCCTTGCCTGGAGTTTCCAAGCCTTGTCTGCATGAAGCCACGTCCAGCCTGACATTGTGCCAACCACAGTCCTGCTTTGTGCAGGCTGCTGGATGAGGTGGTGCAGAGATTCCCTTCCAGCCATCACTTTCCAAACATATTAATAGGGCAACGTAACTACCAACCTAGCCAGACTCCTTCAAGGGTATTCAGACCACTGATATCCTGATATTATTGCATCCCAGCTCTTTTTTGTCCATTGTAATATGCTTTTCAGGACAAAGGCCCTCTGCAGGTCAGCACTGAGGTTAAACCTGCTTTGAGGAGGGCTCAGCCTCCAGGAAGGACCTACTGGAGTCTGTTTCCCACCTGAGTTATTTTAGGCATCCCTCTTGGTCAGCCTTCAGCATGCCTTCAGCCTTCAGACCCATACCATAAGTAAAACCATTGACGTCCAAAAGCTTGTTCATGTGCATTTAAAACAATGGAGGGCTGCATCTGACTATTATTATATTTCTAGGCATAAAAAAGGTTATTACCTTAAAGAATGATTTGTATTAATCAAAAGTGTCTGTTCATGAAACATTTTCAGGTATACTTTTCAGTGAAACAAGCAGCTTTTTTTTCCATTTCATGTCTCTGTGTGTGTCTGTCCCTTCCAACTTCAAACAAAAGGCTAGACATGCCAGGAACTGTGAAGTTCTGTGTGTGGGTTTTTTATCACAGTCTAGTGATTTCAGCAAAGAGCTGAGGAGGCTTCTGCCAACTTTCTCCTCAACTGAGAGGCACAAACCTCAGCAGGAACCTGATGTCCCAGGGCTCCTTCTCTTGCTCTGGCAATAGTCACAAGTAACCTCCCTTAGCAGGGTTCTCAGACTCCTCAGGGCACCAGCTTCAAGGTCGGTCAAGGCCAGAAAAGGCCACCCTCAGTTCTTGTCCCTGTTTCTCTACTCCCTTCAAATTAAGGACTAAGGTGAAGGTTTGCCCCATGAGTACATCCAGGGCAGGTTTGCAGCCTTAGAGCTGGGCTGGGCTCCAGGCCATCCCCACGATCCCCTTTCCTGGCCGTGGGTCCCTGCAGGGTGACTGCAGTGCAGTCAGGTGTGAGGAAGGGCACCCTGGGGAAGAAGCAGTCACCCAAATGGTGAATGTAGGCAGCAGCACATCCAGAGCTCTACAAATTCACATCTCCACACCTCTTCCTTGGGAGAGGGCTTTTCCAGCATCTCCCACATGCTCCACACTTACTGCTTGCTCCATGCAGAGCCCGGGTGCGGGAGCAGGATGCTGGGCAGGCAGAGAGCAGACCACCTCTTCCTTGGGAGAGGGCTTTTCCAGCATCTCCCACATGCCCCACACTTACTGCTTGCCCCATGCAGTAAGGGCCCTGGTGCGGGAGCGGGATGCTGGGCAGGCAGAGAGCAGAGCTGCTGTTTGTTGGTGTGGAGAAGGAGCTGTAGGCCATCTTCTGCATGCAAATAACATCCCAGCCTTTCCCTGGAGTGCCCTGAGTCCATCTCCTCCGTGCTTTCTGCCCTGAAGCCTGCAGGGATGCTGCTGTAGTGCTCCAGGGGCAGTGCAGGGGAGGGGGACAGAGGGACATCCATGGTGGTTACCAGCACACCCCAGCCCCACAGGGGGTGTGGACAGGCATGGGAGAGGGATGCAGTGCAGTGCTGGGAAACCTCCAGCTGGGTGTGCCAGACAGAGCAGCTGCACGAGCTGCCTCCTCTGGGGCTGGGATGAAAAGGTGCCTCTCCCTGCTCCAGGCTGGCAGGTGCAGCAGCGCTGAGCACAGAGCCAGGCACGCAGAGCCAGGCAGGGCTTTGTCCCTAGTGGGTTGGCTTTGCAAGAGCCCCTGGCTCCAGGCAGGGGAGCGATGGAGCCTGTTGAAGGTGCTGGTCCTGCAGTTGGACTCTGCCTCCTGCCATCAGGGATGGTCCATAAGTCACAGGCCAGGCAAAAGGGAGGGGCTAGTGCTGCTAGACGGAGCTGGAGCCGGGCGGCTGGCTGTTGCTGTTGCTCTCCGAGGCGGTCTTGGCAGTGGAGGAGGTGGCCAGGGAGCCGCTGTTCCTGAAGATGCGGAGCAGCCTCCGCTTGTAGCCCCGGAAGGCGAAGAAGTAGATGATGGGGTCGATGCAGCAGTTGAGGTTCATGAACGCCACAGTGACTTGCAGGGACATCTTGAAGGCTTGCTGCTCACGGCAGGATGGCTGGTAGAGGATCTTCCTGACCATGAACTGGACAATGTTGAGGTGGTAGGGACTGAAGCAGAGCAGGACAGCCAGCAGAACCACCAGGATGACAGTGAAGGCCCGGTGGTGGTGCCCGTTCTTCACCGTCAGCGGATTCTCCTTGGCGGTCTGGCAGAGCTTGAGGTTGATCCTCACATAGCACACCAAGATGATGCCCACAGGCAGGAAGAAGCCAAGCATGCAGGCCACCAGGAGCAGGTAGGGCAGATTGGGAATCTCCTCAAAGTTGAAGTACTCCATGCAGGTCAGCTTGTCTCCCATCCTTCGCGTCATGGGCCGCAGGAGCAGCGGAGCCGTCTGCAGGAACACCAAGGACCAGATGAGGACACAGATACCCCTGGCACGGCTCATCTTCCGAATCCTGCCGGGGTGCCTTGTGCGCACCACGGCAACGTAGCGGTCCACGCTCACGCAGGTCATGAAGTAGATGCTCACATAGGTGTTCATGTAGAAAATGAAAGCTGTGATCCGGCAGAACCAGTCCCCAAAGGGCCAGTCAGACTCCAGGATGTAGTAGGCAATCCTGCCTGGCAGTGCCAGGGTGAAGAGGGCATCGGAGAGCGCCAGGTTCACCAGGTAGAGGTCGGTGGAGTTGAGTTTCTTCTTCCTGCGCTGGAAGGTGATGCAGAGGGCCAGGACATTCCCACAGGCACCGAACACCAGCAGGATGATGTAGAAAAGGGAGAAGGTGACTTTGGTTGAGAAGTGGTGGTTGTGCACATTGCAGCTGCTCTGGTTGCTGGAGGTGAGATTGGTGGGCAGGAACACATCCTCCACAAGAGCCATTTCCACAGTGCCTCACGAGCTCTTGTTCTCTCACTTGGAATAAGAACACACGTGAAACTTGCAGCTTATTGATAACAGGAGTGGCACACTTAGAGCTGGCCCTCATCACAAAGCAAAAGCCCTGTCCCCTGCTCCAGCCACCTCCCCCAGCAGCACACAGCTCGAGTCATTTGGAAAAATGCTTCTCTTGTGATTTTGGTGAGAGCATCTCAGCAGTGGCTGTGAGTCAATTCTCCTTTTCTTATCACGAGCTACTCTTAATTTTGTTTCTTCACAAGTCCAATCAGTATGAGAAAGGACTGGAGGTGCTCGGAGGGGTAATTGCCTGTCACACAAGGAAGGTCCCAAACTCATCTGGTGGCAATGATATAATTTACTCATTGCAGCAAGGAGAATGAGGAGCTTCATTGAGAAAATGTTCAGGAACTGGAGGGGCCGGGGACTGGGAGGGCTGGGGGACGGGCGGGCAGAAGTGCTCAAGATCACTTTCGCAACCCTCGGGCAGGACCAAAACTTCAGCAACGAAACTGAAGAAATTAAAAGAGAGGAAAAAACCTAGCCTTCCACAAAAAAAAACCCCAACCCAACCTTCCCCAACAATCCCGTGACCCATGCTCGTTCCGATCAGGGAGCTGGGAACTCCCCGGCACCGCACGCCCGCTCCCCGCACGCCCTCCCGCCGCTCGCCCCGCTTTGGGCACGGGGTCCGCGCTCGTGCCTGGCGACAGCGGCGTCCCCTCGGCTGCGGGGCTGCAGCGGCTCCCGCTGCGCCTCTCCCGCCCGCCGCTCACCGCACGCTGCCTCCTCCCGCCGCCGGGCTCCGCTCCCAGCACCGCCGCACCGGGACGGGACGGGACGGGACGGGCGCAGCGCTGCCTCTCGTCCCCGGCGGCGCGGACCCCGACGGCTGGGATGCTCAAACTCACAAGCACTAAAGGGAGGTCAGGGGCTCCAACCTGAGTGCGGCGGTGCCACCGTCGTCTTCTCTTCCTCCTCTTCCTCCTCCTCTCGCCCGACTTTTGGGGGGCAGCGAGCGCGGAGCCTCCTGCCCGCGTCCTGCGCTCGGGCTCCCCGGCCGTGTGAGCTCCTCCCGGGATTCGCTCACATTATAAAAGCACCGTGAGATTTGGGGTTTTTTTGTTTGTTGTTTTTTGTTGGGGTTTTTTTTTTTCCCTTAGGGTTAGTAAAACTGTGTTCTTTCTGGGTGGGGCTTTTTTTTTTTTTTTTTCCTTAGGGTTAGTAAAACTGTATTCTTTCTGGGTGGGGCTTTTTTTTTTTCTTCTTTCGGTATGTGAGAGGCACGCTGCCGCCGCGGGGGATATTCTCAGTAGTGGCTGTTCAGGAGAAGATAAATGACTGTACCTGCGCGGTAATCGCTCCCGACATCTAAGCCGACTTCGCGTTTTACTGTGAAAGCTCCTACAAGGATGCAAAATGCAACTGAACGATGAAAACAACTTCAGCTCTGGTTCACGTGCGGTCCAGAGCCCTCAGCCCGGGCACACGCACAGGGCCGCGGCAGCAGATCGGACCGCGGCGGCTTTTACAATAAAGTTGCGGCAAATTTCCAAAGGAGCTTATTGTGCCTGTGGCCAGTGCAAGCCATGCTTGCACTGTGGTGAAACTCAGATTTGCCTTTCACACACACACAGAGACATCACCAGGCACGGCTCCTTAGTGCAGAGACTGAGTTGAACGAAACGATTTGCCCAAAATATTTTTGTTATCGAGATGATACATTGTGCGGTGAAAGTGGGGCAAAGCCCCTTGTCCCAGCTGGAACTCTCATGGCGGGCTCTATCCCCACAGAGTGCTCGGCAGTGGAGGGCTGTGATTTATCCCTCAGCCCCGTGTGTGTGTGTCTTACAGCATGGAGAGAGTACTTTCCTTCCCAGCACTTCCCAAAATGTTTGCAGAAGTGCAGCCTGCAATGTGGCCAGCAGGATGGCCTTCCCCATGGTGTTTTTTTTTTACTGGAGACCACTAGGGTTTTCAAATCCCAAGAGGAATTTTTATGCTTTTTTTTAATGGTTCTAGGGTTTGGGGGGTTTTTGTGGTGGTGGTGATGATCTTGCTGGTGTCTGGTTTTATCCCTCAAAAAAATTCCTAATAAACCAGGAAATTCCCATCACGGGGCATTCGGGGCATGCTACTGAAAAACTGAAGCCAAGTAATACAAAGGTTAAGATTACAGTTAAGCTAAACTTCCATATTTCCCTCTGGGTCAGTAAAGCTCAACTAATTATTTAATTGCATAATATTTCTAATGTTTTAAAACAGCAGCATTAAACTCAGTACTAATCTGTGTACTCATGTACTGTGAGTCATCTGTATAGAAATTACACATTATTGTCATGAATTTACTAGAAGTTGAAGGTACTTAGCAAGAGTAATAGTGAAAATTGGCTAACAAGCTTATCTGTTAATGGAGATACTTTTGTTGCTCGAGGGTTTATATTACACAGAGGGAAAGGTCAGCTAATAACAGAATACTGCTGAGTAAATTATTAAAAATATTCCCTAGTAAAATAGGGGTTTTCTACTTGCACATCTGTCAAGAGTTAAACTAATCAAACTTGTGTGGGGCTGAAATGTTCTTGAGCTGTTTCATCATGACGGTGAGAACAGCCAATGGATTTAACATTAGAGAAGTGTTACGTCCACAGAAATCCTGAGCCCACACCAGTGGGTAGACCCAGGACTATCCTTTCACCTCCCTAAAGCACTGCAGGACAAACAGAGGCAGCTGAAATAAATACCGGTCTCATCGAGTCGGGGCTCACTGCGGCACTGTTGGTGCAAAGCTCCTGCCCACACTCACTACAGTCTCCCCCATGAGAGTTTTATCTCCACAAATTAACACCGTCGAGGAAATAAATTTGGATGAAGCTCAGCAAAATGCCACTGGCTTCCACCCAGGGCCTCACAGCGCCTTGGACCGGTCGGAATCCCCAGGGCTCGGCAGGGATGGACGGGGATGTTGGTGATGCAAATTCACGCCCGGGACTTTTCCGTGCAGTCAAGCGGGCCCTTTGTACAGCCCCTGCCGTCCCTGGGCTCCACGCTCACGCAGGCACTGAAAGGAGGGCTGCAGATCCCAGAGGAGGAATCAGTGCTGATGGCCCAGAGCTGCCACCTGCCTGGGCATGGAGGGTTTCCCATGGAGCCCACGGGAGCGGGAAGTGCCGGCGCTGTGTAAAGGGGGACCTGGATAAAGGAGGGTCGGCGGGGTGTCAGCCCCTGCGCAGAGGAGGGAGATGACCAAGTGGCATCACCAGCCTTGAAAACAGATGGAAGAGCCCAAAGCTCTAAGTGACAACTGTGCCCAGGGCCTTGGGAATAAGACAGAGGGAAAGCAATGCTCTCCACCTGATTTTATTTTTCTTTTTGCAGTGCAGAACAAAGGAAGTGGGTTCTTCTTTTGTGCAAAACACGCTCCTGCCCTGTGTGCAGCAGGTGCTGCGCTACAGGAGTGCAGCCCAGCTCCACCCGTTTGCACGGCTCCAGCAAGCCCAGCACGGCTGCACCACCCCACGCTGCACAGCAGGCAAGGCCTTTTGGATGGGGCAGTGGACTGAGGGGATCCTCTTCCCACCTGTGGGGATCCGCTCCCTGGCTCTGCAACCCTGCATGAGCTGAAACGGGATCTCCCCTCAGACAGGGTAGAGAAGGCCTGTCCAGCCCAGTTTGCAGCCATCTCATTTGAGAGATACTGTCCTTGACAGAGCCCAGTGGAATGTAATGTGGGATTTGAGGAGGGAGGTTCAACTTCAAAGCTGGATCTATGCTTTCTTCTGTTGTGTCCATGTTTGCATAAAGACACTTCCCTGGGCCTAGCAGGGAGCAGGCATAGTCCCATAGCCCAGGTATCCATCCCAGGGTGAGCAGGACCTGCTGTCCTGGGATGTCCCTGCTGCCAGGGACCCAGCAAGGACACAGGGACACTGTCTGGGGGAGTCCTGTGCAAACATTTGGCATGGAGGGTCTCTCTCCTGAAGTGTGCATCATGCTCCTTAACCATGGCATGTCTCTAGCCAGATCCCCGCCTGGCAGTGACCACATGCTACCTCCAGAGCCAGATGTTGGGTATTTCAGAACAGATGCGCACCTCAGAGTCACTGTGGCTCTTCTCACACCATCCTCAGAGCACATCTCTCTCTGCCATCCCATGAAGGCTCCCTGCAGCCTGCTTTTGCTGCTGGAGACCTTGCCATGGATGTTGCTTCCCAGCCCAGCAGAAAAGCCAGGTTGCAGCTCCTGTGGGATCAGGTCCTGGAGGCCATCAGCCCAGCCGTGATGGTGGCTGCGGCCAGCGAGGGAAGCTCAGAAGTCACAGCTGCAGGCACGTGCTGGGAGATCCATCACTGAGCTTCCTCTAGGGCTGCTTCTTCGGGTGCAAAGCCACCCTCAGGTAGCTGTTTACATCTGCTGGGATTTCCCAGAGTTGAGAGATGATCTGGAGCTGGACTTTCTGAGGGCAAGGCAGCATAACAAATGAGGTAACAGCCCCTTCACAGAGAGACAGCAGGAAGCTTGCGCCTCCTCTTTCCATTGTATCATCATCTCTCCCCCTTTTGTTTTCCACATTGGCTTTGGTTACATTTTCTCTCTTCTAGTGCAAAACATTTTCAGGAAGCTTTGGGTGCAGACACAAAAATCTCCAGGTGCTTTCAGTTTTGATGCAACAGGCAGGGATTTTCCACAGCTCAGCCCCTGCATCCCAGGTCACCATTACTCATCTGGCAGTAGAGCAGAAATTAGGAGAATCCCTGATTTTGACATTCATCTGTCCATTCAGTAACAACATCTACATGGGGAGGACAATATTTTAGAGGTTTTAACTTGATATGATGGGAATTGTAGAGGAATAAAAATCTGAAGATTCCTACCAATTTGTGATAAAAATCTGAAGAAAACAATTACTGGAGTTTTGATATGTTTGAAACCTAATCTGGCCCTAAATCTAAGTGGGAAATACTGAATAACAAAGCAGCTGAAAT